TAGGGTGTACAATTCTTAGTTTTAGTCTGGGGTAGGGTATGTAAAATCAAAATTTTAGGTCTGGGATAGGGTCAGGGTTGTGAGGTCTTGGCGGCCCCCCCCTACCCAAGTTGGGGGGGTAATACCCCCCCCCCCCCCCCCCGGGACAAATCAATAATAAAGATTTAGCTATTAGAAGACTTGACTATAAATAGCCAAGTCTTCTACTGATTTGTGCACTGATCACGAGGTGGGACCACCTTGAAACATGTTATTATCGAGATCATGAGCTTTTTGTTGTTAGTACACCGCCCTTTTGTTTGCAATCCAGCAAAGCCTTCCCCAAGGTACCTTTGGCTAAATTGATTTGTTCTCCAGCTCCAAGTGATATATCAACACGTGACTGTTTGTGGAAAAGAGGCCTATATATATATATATGTATGTAAATCGAACGGCCTTTGACGAAGTAGTCGTGGATGTACTCTGTGCCTAGCCTGCCGTGCAGACGTTTTTATGTCGGCTCGTAACGAGCCGACACTAAAAACGTCTGCACCTCAGGCTACCCTGTGCCCTTTCTGTGCATTTTTTTGACTTACACAGAAGAGGATCCAGAGTTATCCCATCATGCATTGCGAGTGAGATGTAATATTTTTCATTTAAGGTGGCTGACTACTTGTGAACATTCGATTTGAGCCCACGATGTGCGCGCGCTCAAAAAACGCTGAATAATTTTTACAATTTTACTTGAAGAACCATACACGTTTTGAACTTCAACAGGGCAAAACCCTCAAATTTTGCACGGAAATCTACACTTTTTTTGTTATTTTCCGGCATAACAGGTAATATCCCATTATTATTCACAGTTTAATACAATTCTGTTTCATTAGAACAATGTAAAAAATCGTTTTGTGCTCAATTTTTACGATAACTTATTTTTGCACACCGTAAAACCTGAACGAAAAAAAGTTTTTCCATTGTCTGCAATTGTTTATCAAAACAACTTTTATCAGCATGTTATAAATATAGTGTAAGTTACGTGTTCGGAGAAAAGTACTCATATTTCTTCCTTAGATTTGGTTTTATGATTTTTTTTTGTACAGAGCTTGATTTTTGCTAATTTTCTTCAAAAATTGTACAAACGCATGTCATTCGGGAGTGATTATCTCAAAAAATGCTCGGGACACCACATGTTTTTGCATTTTAAAAAAGTTTCAATTTTCAATTTTCTGTCTATTATTTACCAAAGTAGTCAGCCACCTTAAATAGATTTTAAAAAATTTTCCGAAATTGAAAAAATCGATTCATCATAAAGAAAATCCCAACTTTCTGACCCCCTTACGATAAAAACAAAAGAAAACGAGTGCCCCCCTGCATATACAGTCCTTTGACTAAACGCTGTCGTTTGATCGGCTTCATCCCTACTCGCCTAGACCGAACAGGATCATGGGGATAATTAATTCACAGTTACTAGCTGCCGCATATGTTATCTAACACGTCTTGAGCTCGCTGTTTTCGATCCCATTTAATTTGGTAAAACCATGCCTCGAGCATACGGCGAAGATTTAAACTGGCGAGCAGTTTTGATGACGCAAGTTCTGGGTAATTTACCCGTTATCCTTTTCGGTMTAGGCGCGTAGGGATGATCCGATCAACGACAACGTTTAGTCAAAAGACTGTAATTATGAAAATCATAGCTCCCCACCCCCCCCCCCCCCCAAACAGTCGCGTATGAATATGTAAATTAACATTATAGTTTGCTATATTAGTTATAACTTGAAATATTTTTCAAATTGGCAAATATTTTTAAAATTGTAAAAATTTGCTGTTTGTTCGTTATAATTTTCCTCTTGCATTTCAATATCATAACTTCGAAGTTTTAGATAATGCAGAACTGGCTCACTAGACTTGCCCTAAGTCGACCTCTCTTGTTTTCCCGGAGTTTTTTAATTCGAGCGAAGCGAGAATCTTGCGAGCGCAGCGAAAAAAAACAAAGCGGGCGGCGGACTTTGCGAAAGTCTACTGGCTCACCAGTATATTCTTCTGCTTATCGTATTAGAGTTCATCGTGCACTGAGCTGGGGAAAGTGGACAGAATGAAGCCGACACTACAAATTCTGCCACAGGAGATTCAATGTAGATGGATCCACATGCAACCAACTGGGTACAAACGACTCTTTGAGCCTTAAGGAGTATTAAAGAATGGAAGAGGATAGAATACAGAAAAATGCTGAGTTGCCGTTGAAGTGGCAGCGTGGATCGACGATGCACCTTAGTCCATTTGGAATACACACAGTGTTTATTGTCAGATATGCCAGAAGATGGGCTGTTTTTCAACCAAGAATTCCTGAAAGGGTATTCATCAACTAATATGGGAGGGGAAAAAAAGGCAGTTCCAGGTCATCATATTTTAAGAAAATTCTTGACATCATCCGATGGGCAGCCCTGTGCGGAATGCAAATCAGCTGAATGTCCGGTTTGGCCTACAACGTCTCGCATTCCACGACCATTGCAAGACAAGTCAAAATTGCCAGACTACCACTATAAAGATGTCTTTGAGTCTTCCGATAAAGATGCTCGATCCTCGCCCTGCTAATGACTGGCAGTTTTGTCATAACATCAAATAATTTTTTGAAGATGGAACTTGATAATGAAGACGGAATATTTGTCATTTTCTAAAAGAAATATCGTGAAAGAGTATAGATCATCTTATTGAGAGGGAATTGAGAATAATTAGAAAAATGGCAGCCTCCCTTTCCAAGAACATTTTTTGTGACCCCCCCTCTAAATGTCTTGAATTATTAGATGACCCCCGCCCATTTCATGCTACTCCATCCTCTGGCATAATTAATAAATGGTCCCAGTGTTTAGCCTTTGCTATTACTGGGTTGCCTATGGCAAAGCATTAAAAAGCCAAAATTGCGCAATAGAATGCAGGGGTCTCTATGGCACTACCCAAGAGTCCTATGCGGCCACGTTATACGAAGACTCCGTGTATAGTCAGATCTATTGCCTTGTGAAAGTTGCCAATCAATGTCACTAAATCTATCAAAGTGATTAATTGGGAATGAGGCTGCGTATCACGTATCGAAAATTAATGTCTACGCATGTTCTTTTTTCATTAGTTGTTGAAGGCTAAGCGCCTAAGGATTAGGAATTAATCGGGTGGAGTAAACAAGAAAGTTCAAGATGCCGTGAAAATATCTTTATTTTGTAATTCGTCAGCTTAATTTTGCTACTCAAAGTAGTATATTCTATGCTTAAAAAGTTTAAGATTAATAGGTTCTATTTAAATTAGATAAGAAAATACGGCTTCAAATCTTCCCGTGAGTGAGCAAATACTACATAAATACTCAATGAAATACTAAATAAATACGACCGGCGTGATGGACTTTCACCTAGTTTTAAGTCATTTTTACTTGTAGATTCTCAATAATCCTTTTCACTGATAAAACGAACAGAGGAAGCATAAGCATAAGCATAAGCAGAGTTTTATGTTTGATTTGAACGAATCGCAGGTTTCCCAGCCTCTGTTTCTGTGGCACCGGGCTTCTTGTGGAAAACCAAAATGATATAATTTCAAAGAAATCACAGAAAACGTAAGAAATCGATTCTCAAACAATTGCTTTTCGTAAACTTAAAATGTTTGATCAAAATTAAACGTTTTATCCTATAAAGCTTTTTGAGTGGTTTTGCGGGTATTTTAGGGTGCCTTGAGGCGGTCAGTTGAAAGGGACGATTTGAAAGCTGGTTTCAAATTTTTTATAAAGCGCTTATTACTTTTAAGGTATAATGAATATACGAAGTAAATAAAACGTGATATTTTCATAGTAATTTGAATGTTACATTTTATAGTCTATTCAACCGTTGAAGCTCAATAGGAGACTGGACACAGATTTGCCGCGTAAGGAAATGTTGGGCCGATCAAGGTTATGCACAACAATCGTCCCACAATTCCATGCGTGAGTAATTAGCTACCAGTTTCCCTTGTAGTAGGAACTTATGGATAAATTGAATCACCGTAAGAAGCTTTGTTAAACTGACGTTTCGGACGTTAGTCCTTCCATAAGTTCCTACTGTTTTATTCAGAAACACCAACGCAGTCTACACTAGTTCTCTACTAGTTATAATCCACTAGTTTCCCTTGTACTTTAAAAAGAGTGTTTCTCTCAGGATTCATCTTCAGGTTCGTCATCACAAAGAAAAGCAAATTGATTCCCGTGCAGCACTTCAGGTGGTTCCTGTTCTGTAACAGCCGCATAAAGCTGTCTAAAGATATCTGGTTTCTTTGCTAAGGATTCGGCTTTTTTACCTATAAAAAGTAAATTTGAATTCCTCAGTGAGATCTGCTTTCAAACAACAAAACTTTAACTGGTCACATGGATGTTGACATCGGAGACTGATATCAGGGAGGGGAGGGTGGGTGACAAACAAAACGTAACCCATCGAAAATAGGCCATAGGCTTATATATGCCCTACTTGCCATTTTGGCCTTAGAACAACAGAATCACGTAATACGGCAAAGAGACTTATTTTCGGAGGTTTACGGGTAGCATGGGTAGCGTACGCTGCTAGCGCGTCGCATTTCACCGCTGTGAGTCCAACGGGTCGGGTCGCTGGTTCGAGCAATGCGGTTTCCACCAATTTGAGTTTGCTTGATGTGTTGTATGCTACGAAGGTTTTCTCCGGGTTCTCCGGTTTCCTCCCTCCGTAAAATACAGCATGTGAGTCGAGCCTTGTGTGCATTGAACATTGAATGTTGTGGTAGTGGTAGTATGTGTGAGTGAAAAGTGTTCCCAATAGTCCCCTTTGCAGCTCAGTAATCACGTGCTGATTAATTCACTGAGAGCAAATCCAGGGCAGTGGATCGATATATGGTTGAGATAACTCGGTGGAAATCTTAGGTGAGGCCGATTGTTGGGGTCCGTAGAATGAGTCCCAGTTGGATGACGTGCATGGACGGGTAAGGGTGCATATATAGAATAGATTATAGATTCCATATACTGAGCTATAGGGTAGATATAGGATAGATGCTAAGTTGTAGTTCTAATCATCTAGTCCTAAGAGAGGAACATGTTCAACCACAATCTCCTCCGGGTAGGACATATACTCACCTTCTTCTATCTCGCGGACAATTGAATGAGCTGTAACGCCATTATACAGGGTAGATATCCTGGGTTCGAATAAAGGGCCCAAGAGGATTTGATTCAAGGCTATCGCCTCCATCATCACTGCCTGCCATTGTGCGATGCTGTGCTGACAATCGATATCGAAATCAGATGTCTTGGAATCACTACACTTTGCTGGCGATGACTTTTTATCTTGCCTCTCGGGAAGCAGTTTTAAATGTACCAGTAACAATGCTTGTACCCATATCGGGTTAACACAAGGTTTGGCTTCAGAGATCCAGTAGCGTACTGACGCTGCAAACAACTGGACATTGTTGTGTAAAGACTTGATAAGCGCTGTGTTTGCCTTCAGGATTATTAACAACATTTGACGTCTTTCTTCTATCTCTGTTTCTGGCAAGTTATCTAGTTTTAGGAGTTCCCCATATCCACGAACAGGTTCCCAAAGCGGTTGTACTTGGAATATCTTCATACTTCTTTTATCCCTTGACCACTCTTTAACTTCTAAACTTTTTCTCTTGGATTCTTGGCCCTTCATTGGTTTCATAATGATGCCATAGATAATACGCCTTAGCTCACGTGAGCAGTCATGCGCTGAGCTCTCGTTTGATTTCTCTACTTGGACATGTAGGAAATGTCTCCCAGAAGTAAGAACACCCATGTAAATGACAGGAAAAACACCGTTTCGATATCTTTCCATCACCAAGGAAGGGATATTTTCCTGATTCAGTGTCTTCAACGATGTCTGTAATTCTCCCGATTCAAAAAACCCGTTCAATGTGAAGTCACATATGGAATACTCTTTCATCGATTCTTCTAAAGCAGATCTCAGTGTCGTTCTTTGGTTTTCATAGGGTATCCTTTCTAGTGCACACTCTAATGCCTTTTCGACATCATTGATAGAGGAAAAGAATTCAGCTATTTTCTCCATTTTTTTACTCAAAACCTCTTTAGGGCTCCCTTCAAGACCTGGAAAAAGTGTATTTTCTAAAGGAGCAAGCGTACTCTTTTCGATGAAGTCGTTCCCCACTAACGAAGCAACAAGTGGGAAAAACTCTGGTCGGATCCTCAAATGATCTGACAAGCGTTGGCGCTTATAGAGTTCTCCAGTTATGGGCCTTCCCTTCCAGTCCAACGAACTGAGAGGAATATAGCCTGCACGGAGATCAAAGATGAAGTAGTCGCTGTCATTGCTGATTACAGGGCAGTTCCAGTGATAGGCTAGTGAAGCTATTTCCTGGTCTGCCTCACTGTATGTGAAAAAAATGTTTAGTTTAGTAATAGTTGACATATCACGTTATCATCTTCCACCATTTTGGATGACACATAAGAAGATTTTGAAACCTAAAACATCCACTAATATGAATCGCTTTTAAAAGCGCTCTCACATTTCAACATTCACTTGGCCACTTTAGAAACGAGCAAGAGACTGGGGCGAGTTTTGAATTTTAATCTAATTAGTAAAAGAGTTTTGCATCTGATAAAGCATCTCAATGCGTGTACCTAATGGCCATTTGTCTTTTTGATAAAATTGAATTGTCAATTTATTAAATTTGGCCCCAATTTTCGATATTT